ATTTCACAGCTAATCTTTGTGTATGTGAACCGGTGTGTATGTGCTCCCAGGTGTATGCATGGGGGACTCTGTGTGCACACACATGAGAGAGAGAGAGAGAGAGAGAGAGAGAGTTGTAATACTTCTGAAGGCATAATATTCCCCATATATGATATATTAATAAGCTAAGTGGACATAAAAAAAAACCTGTTTGCCCCACAGCAAGGTGGAAGCAACTTATTAATTTCAAAAAAAATCTAGATGCAGTTGAATATAGCAGCATAAAGTATTTTCTCTCTTCTGTTATTCTATTCTAAATCCTTGTCTTATGACCGTAAATGTGGTAACAGTTTCCACCAAGTTTGTGGTTTCCGTACAACCGTTTGCAGACAAAATAATATCCATCAATTCCAAAGGCCATGGAAGGATAGAAGCTTAAGCAGTAATGAATGCCCCAAACTACAATGGATCGAAACAATGCAAAATTCCCTGTAATGATTTCAACCTCATTGAAGATCCAGGACAAACACGTATATGGCCAGACCAATAACTACACTAACAAAAGAAATGAGTTGATCCAGTTGCCACTAAACGAGCAGGAGATAGGCCATTTAAACAAGAAAAAAATAGTACCCGGCGTGCTATATCAGCTCCACTCTCTATGCGTTCTTCTGGTGCAATGTATTCTATATGATTCTCAAAAATATCTTCATCTTCTTCAGGTACTGGCGAGGCATTCAAGTCCATGACAGCAATCATTCATAATCCACTACACTACATTACCAACACACAATCTCAAATGGTCAGGGGGCTATCTCTCTCTCGATAACTTGTAAGAACTAAACAACCTTTCATTCAAAAATTGCTTCAAACTGTCCGCTGCACAAATAAGCACATTGTCAATAAATAATCCATTTATGCAACTAAAAGCTAATAAGAAACATATAGTTTACAAACCGATACAACTACATCGACGTAGAACTTTAAGTTTATAAACCCATAAAACAAAAATGCAGACTACTGCTCGGCCGAAAGACGGCATTTGCCTTGTATGGGAAAGCAGAGCAAAAGTGTAAAATTCATGTAATGTACTCCTAATCAACTTAATCTAACTACAAATTAGCTTAAATTTGCTTCACCCAAAGCCCTAGCCAAATAAAACACCCTCCATTTTGTTCATCTCCCCTCCAATTTCTACCCAGCACCCAAATGAGCAACCCAAAACCACAATCCCTAAACCACAAATTTCCCATAAAATTTTCAAATCCCGAGACCCCAAAAGCTTCACAGTTTAAAAAACCCAAAACACAATCGAGAAGAGCTCAAACCTCACGAAACTCCAATCGGAAGCCAATTCACCGTCCCCGTAGCCGTAACAAATAAACACTTCCACGATCAGCGCAAACGCAGCGGCTTCCTCCGGAAGTCGAAGGACAACCCTAACGATTGTTTATCTTGCTCCTCGCAACTGGGAAGCTCTCTGCGAAACCCTAAGAGAGAGAAAGTCTGGGGTGTGTCGGTTTAGAGAGCGAAGTAAAAAATTAAAGACGGTTTGTCATGAGAGAGAAGAAACACGAACGGAGGAGAGAGAGCGAGAGAGGAACGATTCAGTTTGGAGAATCGAATAAACAATGCAGATAAAACCCTCCGGGTAAACGATGAATTTATACAAGCGTATGACTCTGAATTTTAAAAAAAATATTATATTATTTTTTACTATTTATATACGTGTGAAACTTGAGGAAAATGACCGAAGAGTAAATTATCAAAAACCGAATAATTACTTATTTGACCAAAAAACCAAAAAAGGAAAATTAGTTGCTGTGAAAATTACTTTTTTGGGTTTTAGGGACGGCCACGTGAGAACAGGCACAAGCAGCCTGAGCAAAAGGAAAATGTGGTTTACTGTGTCCTGATTTTTTTATTAGGTTTTCAATTTCAATTTTGCTAGTCACGTAATAAATGAGATACTTATATAAGAATATGTCGAGTAATGTTGTGGAATCTCTATGTGGCTAATGAATAGTAAAGTTTTGCAAAATGAAGTTTGGAACATAATTTGAGAAGTAATCAAATAAAAAATGATTGAAACAAGAAAAGTATTTTAAGAAAAATTAGGGTACGTACATCAAATTTGTGTCACATTATTTGGTGCACAAACTTAGTGTGTGTAGCACCGCTCTTTAAATATAAAGAGAAGGAAAACTTGGTAAGTATATTGAAGCACTCATGTGGTTAGCCTAGGTTTTGAGTACATCGATATTTTTACACTAAGGAGAGGAAGAGTTCGACTAGGCTACACAATGGGCAGCCTAATTCGGTATCGAATTTGTCATCCACGAGATTCGAACCTATGACCTCTCACTTCTAAGTGAAATGGAATATCATCAGACCGTAGTACTGAGTGACTAGCCTAGGTTTTAAGTACCTTTTCTTTTTCCAAATCAAAATAGTTTTTGGTGCTTAGTTAATAAAATTTGCAATGCATCCTTAAAACGATTGAGCCCATCAAACCATTTTAGGATGCAACTCATTTGGGAACAAAAAAAAGGTTGGAAACTTGTAAGCCATTTTCTTTTGAGAGGTGCAAAACTACTTACTTGTCACGAGAAAAAAGACTTACATGATAGAACACTGCTACAACGACGTTTTGTGTTAATAATATAAATACATATGTAAGTTTTCGTCCATATTGTGTCATATTATGGGCACAAACGTTACAATAACAGTGTAATCGTGCCATATAAATTACTCTCGTCACGAGAATATACTTCTTTTATACATATCTAAATCGAGTGAATGGTTAAGGTTGAGATAAACGTAAGAAAGTGTATCCGATGCAGGTAAGTTTTTTTCAAAATTAATTTAGTGTTGGTAAAAAGGTAAAGGGATCACATGCTAACAGTAAAAAGGAATGAGAAAATTGGAAAGAAGAAAAGGATGATGGAGTGGAGTGTGAAACATGCTTTGTGTGCCCAGGATTGGCAAAATCAGGAAAACGACAAAAGAAAACGTAGCTAAAGGTCCAAAAATAGGATCCCATAAAGTGGCATGGAGAGTTCAACTCTTTGGAAAGCAAAGATCCTCCCTTCCCCGACTTCCCTCCACCACAACCCGCCACGTGGGTTCACTTGGTTGGTATGTTTTTCAGAAGATACCTGGCCAGTTTGATACTCTTCTCTTCTGGGTGGGTCTTCTTGATCCTTCTTCTGTCCTTTTCAGTTCCCCGAATGAAGATCGTGTATGTTACGATGACTAAAAGTTATGTTACGATCAATCGCTTAATAGTGCATATGTGATTTATAAGTGTTACATTTTGGTTTATATAACGTCAAAGTTGGTTTATTTGTAACTATAATAAATTTCTCGTACGTTTTGTGTGCGCGCGCGCGCGTGTGTATATATAATTAAGAAAATATACAATTATAGATGGCTAAAACTCTCTAGGTTCGTAGGGAAGTTATTGAAGTTACATTTGACGAAATTTCAAACATAAACGTGAATAAGTTTAATTAGGTGACATGAAATATGTGTATTTACTAGACTTTACATGTGAACAATCTACTCTTTAACATCGTACAAAAAGTTGAGATTCGAGTATAAGCACTCTCATTCTCAAAACAAAGTTAAATATTAGGTGGAGTTGAAATGATGTAATGTACATGACCCAGAATTCAACCAAACTATCGTAGATAATGGTCCAACGTACTAGTAGTGTCATATAAAATAGGCCATTCATTAAGGAACATTCGGCTCAAAAGATCTAATAGTGTCATATAAAATGGTAAGTTTTGGATGGGTTGTCACATTTGATCAAAAGTTAGTTAAAAATGTACGAAACACGAATGGGTTGATGATTTATGACCATTGAGACATGTAAGCTCAATCAAGTATGTGAGTTCAATTAGATTTTAATTATATGCAAATACGTGATATGCATGATTGACGACAGCTAAAATTTTTCTGGTAGTCAATTCAACCAAGATTCATCTAAATCCAAATTTTGGCAAGGTTTATGCTAAAGCAATCATTTGTGCACGTGTTGGTAATTTTTTACTATTAATGCATGTGTAATCGATCATAGTTTATTACATATTTGAACGTGAATAATGTTAGTAAAATTCTTCTAGAATGTCAATAGAATGCACAATTGATGGATAACTAGCAGTAAAAACAACAAATAACAAATATACATCACAATATGACACTAGATTTAAAAGTTAGTTGATAACCGTTGGTTGTTGGTTGTTCGAACTGGACCCTTAAATGACAACAAAATTGATGAGTTACTAGTTATTCCCAACATTGAGAAAGAAATGCCACTAGATCAAAAATTAGTTGATAACCATTAGTTGTTGAACTCAAATGGCAACAAAATTGATGCAGTACTAGTTCCTACTCACTAAGTGATCGATCTCCACACAAATTTGATTATACGTTTGAAAATTTTGAGCAGGAACACTCCAATCACGATATTCGTAAGACCTTTCTAAACAACATACATTTTGGTCCCATCAGTAGATCCAAATGTTAGAAGTGCTCTAATAAAACAGTTCAATTACCCACCTACACTTGTGTAAGATCATTAGCTATATCATCAAACTAAGTAAGTTTTAGACGGAAGTTGCCCGTAAGAATCAACCATGCGGAGTTATTCAAAAACATCTTACATGGTGTGTGGCCCATAACGGTGTACGAGTAGCATATAATTCCTTCCCTATTCACCCAAATTTTGGTTTCGGGCTCAAAATCCAAGAAAGGTGTGCATCCAGAAGAACAATCCCCTCCAAAAGACCCACCAACTTACGCGATGTACTTGCCAAAATCAAATCATCATTATTTGATAATCACATCGTCACAAAATCATTCTCAAAATTTAATCTTTACTACAATCCAAAACACTTTGAAACACGAGATTTTTCGATGTAATTGGAAATAGATTGTATATTATATGTTATTATATAAATAGTATGATATGTGTATTAAAAAAATTAATAACATAAAAAATAAAAGTTATGACAATTTCTATGAAAACACATGGTGTATCCCGGGTTCCGGTCACAATAAAAAATTTATCCCCGTAAGCACAGTGTGCTTCCTGTTTTACCCCTGCTAAGTTTGCATATGAAGCGGGGTTCATGTTAGCAAACAAAATCTTATCTTAATCCAAACCCATCTGCCTTTTTATCCCCTTTTCCCACTCCACTGCAATTCCTGATCCATTTTCCAATGGCATTGTCAGATCAGACCTTCTTCCACAACTGCCTTATAGCTCTCTACCTCATAGCTCCCCCAACCTTCATCTCCCTCCGGTTCCTCCAAGCCCCATACGGCAAGCACCGCCGCCCGGGGTGGGGCCCCACAATGTCCCCGCCCCTCGCCTGGTTCCTCATGGAATCCCCAACTCTCTGGCTAACCCTCCTCCTCTTCCCCTCCGGCCGCCACTCCTCCAACCCAAAAGCCCTTTTGCTCATCACCCCCTTTCTCTTCCACTATTTCCACCGCACCTGCCTCTACCCGCTCCGCCTCCACCGCGACACCGCCAGTTCCAAATCCTCCGCCGGCGGTTTTCCGGTGAGCGTGGCGGCGATGGCGTTTGGTTTCAACCTGTTGAATGCGTATCTGCAGGGCAGGTGGATTTCTGAGTACAAAGATTATGAATCTGACGGGTGGTTTTGGTGGCGGTTTATGGGTGGGTTGGCGGTGTTTGGTTATGGCATGGGTGTAAATATATGGTCTGATAGCGTCCTCGTGGGGTTGAAAAAAGAGGGTGGGGGGTATAAAGTGCCAAAAGGAGGGTGGTTTGAGTTGGTGAGCTGCCCAAACTACTATGGGGAGATAGTGGAGTGGGCAGGATGGGCAGTGATGACGTGGTCCTGGGTAGGGCTGGGGTTTTTTCTTTACACGTGTGCAAACTTGGTGCCTAGGGCACGTGCGAATCACCGGTGGTATTTAGAGAAGTTTGGAGAGGATTATCCCAAGGGTAGAAAAGCTGTCCTCCCATTCTTGTATTGAAAGGCCTTTAGTTGATCTAAAAAACTAATTGAAAGCTTTTTTGTTTTTTCACTTATTGGTATTATTGTTGTACTTTCTTTGTTAATGTGAATGCGTTTAAGCGTTAATCAGTTAATATTCACATCAACGAATAAATGACTGAACGATTTCTAATTTGGGCGGAGATTTATGAGGATGATATTGGATGAAAACTGGAAAAAAAAAATAAACAGTTTAAATCATGAGGTTAGAATGTGGACTTGGCACAAACAATGATTGACAATAGTCACTAACATTAGTTGTACAAAATGAGCTTGATAAAGGGTGGATATTGCCCATCTCACTAGTCACTTAGAGATCTTTACCCACTTTATTTTGTACAACTAATGTCATCAATGACTTTGTCAACTTTTCTTATAGTGATGTGAAGTGGTAATCAAAATGAATGATAATCTACAATATTCCTTCTTTTCAGTGACAAAATTGGATATAAAGGTAGGTTACTAAGGCCTTCCACAAAAATGAGTAAGTGTGGGAATCAAATAACCTGAATGTGATATATATGATACTATCGGTACACTAGTGTGAGTTCAATATATTGATCATACGCATGAGTTTAATATACCACTCATGAGTTCAACGTTGGTATCACACTTAATTTTTCCTACCCACTGTAAGAATGTGATTTCCACGAGTTCAATATATTAGAATCTCACTCAAATTTTCATTTTTCCGGCCCATTGTAAAAGGGCTAAAAACACAATATCTTGTAAGTGCATAATCTGAGACTCTGAGCTATTTTTACAGTGAAAATGTGGAAAGTAAAATTCATCTCCAACCAACAAAACGTTGACGGGAAAAAGAGGAATCAAACCATCTTGGACATGGATGTATGACTGAATGCGATATTTAGAGAGAATAAACTCAAATTGATCTGAGTCCAACGAAGCTTGGTTCTCAAGCAATCAGATAGCAGCCTACGTATGCTTCGGAACAAGAATTTCGTGGCGGCCAATATGGATGGTGACCGACATCCGCTTGTGCCGCCACAATATTGACCAGAGCGAAATTCTTGTTCCGAAGAACAGAGTAGAAGAGTTCAATGAAAGAAAATCTAGAACAGCAAAAGATCTATTCAGCACTGCAACTCAGGCATATTGCCTTGAAGATAAAAAGCACGAGGGGTTAAGGAAAGATAAGTATCGAAAACGATTTATTAGCCTCCCCACACAATCTATACAGAGCGATCCGAATCTATAAAAAGAGAAACTCAAATGATTTGGTGTCTATTTATAGAAACAGAATTGCACTTAATTGAAAAAAAAGAAGGGAAAAACAAAAAAATTATAGAAACCTAATATAAATTTAAAAAGTTCAGGCAGAAAACTATGGAGCTAAGATGTGTCTCCTTGTTCCTCGAAAATGCAAAACTTGTACGCTATTGCAAGATGTCAACATATGCTAAAAGGCAGTTCACAACAGCTTAAGGTTACCCTATTTGTCCACTTTTGGCACTTCCATCTGTTTCGAACAAGATCGTCTTCCGGGCACCATATCAGCAAACAAGCCGACTAAAAGAGAAGTACTGCAGAAAAGCATAGGCTAATAAGTGAAAATTGAAAAGGTAGACTTCCCAATAAAGAACATGTAGGACTACAACCGAAAATGATAAGTTCACTCAGTTTTGATCATGCATGATACCGTTAAAAATTGTTATTTCATAATTCAGAGAGGAAACATATCAAATGATAAGCAAAAAGGAAAATGTAGTGCGTCACTCATTAAAGAAAGAGGGGAAAATAGATGAACTCACATTAACCGAACGTGCGATTTGCACCCACTACTCTAGATGCATCAAAGGAGAAAGAGTCTTCATCGTCCTTCTTCAGACTTTCATTCGATCCAACAGTTTGGGAAATCTCGGCCTTCAGCTTCTCATGCTTCTCTTTTAAATTTGAAGATTCCACAGCTGCTGCTAAGCTTTGTTTGATTTGTTGCTCCAATGCCACGATTCTATTTTTGGCTGCTGAATCGGGTGTTTTCCCTGCCTTTGCTATCTCCAACTTCAGTAGCTCAACTTTGTCCTTCAGGTCTGTTGTATTGATCACACTTTCAATCCTCTCATTAATTTCTCCATTCAATTCTTCGATCTTGTTCTTAACTTCTGAGGGCAAAGTTTGCTCAACGGGCTCTTTTGCTTTTAATTCAACATCCAAACCCAATGACTTGAGGACATCAATAAATTCAAACTCCAGCTCTTTCTTCAATTCCTTGATTTTCTCCCTCAGGCTGTCATCCAAATCATCAAACTTAGACACCCCAGAGTTTTCAACCTCAACCCTAAGTGCCACAACCTTCTCCTTAACATCTTCCCGATCCATGATCTCGCTGAATTTCTTGTTAACTTCCTGCTTCAGTTTTGCAGCCTTCTTGTTGCTCTCGGCAAGATCATATGCTTTTGACAATTCCTTCAACATGTCGAGTTTATATTTTAGGTCTTCATAATTAGGAGCTGTCAGCAGCCCTTTGTTGAATTCCTCCCTAAGCTTATCAAGCTTTGCTTTTAGAGCTGGATGCAGGAGTTGGTTCTGTGCATTTACTTTTGCAAATTCTTCTCGCAAAGTGGCAAACCTCTCTTTCAAACCCAAGGATTTAACTGCCTCAGAAAATTCAGTATCCACTTCCTTTCTCAGTTTTTTTATCGTCTCAGTCAGTGGCACCAATGGAGGCTCATTAGAAGATTCCTTGGCTTTCAAGATTTGCTGTTTTACCTTTTCAACCTCACCCTCCAAATCTACAACCGGAGTCTTCACATAGACAGGCTGCTCTTTTGGTTTCATGTTCTTTTTCTTCTTTGGATCTATAGGAATTCCTTCTTGGAACCCACCAATTTTCCGGAACTTCATCATGCGATGCTTTAGTAATGCTTCTGTGTCCAACTTATGGAGCTCCTGAACATAACCAAAGACATAAGTTAGAATATGATAGCATAAATTTAGTTTTTGTTGAAGAGAAATCACTTACATCCATTTCTTTGTTAATTGCATTTTTGATCTGTTGAGAGGTCCATGCAGGATCCGCATGTGCGCCGCCAAGCGGCTCCTGTTAAAGGGGAAACAAATTGAATCTTTAGATACCACATTAGCAACACTGACCACTAACAAAAATAAAATTTGCATAAATCAGGGAATGTTCTTTCTTGGAATGTCAATGTTTCCAATGAGACAGGGTACGCTTGGATAAAGAAAAAAAGAAAACAAGTGACTTTTGAGTAAAAGAATCTGTATCAGGTTCCCGCCAAAGGCAAAATAATAGAAAAGTTTAAGCCAGATTGACAAAATTGAACAAAGACTAACAAGAAAAGAAAATTCATAGCTAGGAATGACCTTTTCTAATATATCAACGATTCCAATGACAAGGATGAGTTTGATAAAGGAACAAAGGAATGTCATCAAGCACACCACAAAGAACACCGCAGAAATTTTTTAAACAAAAATGTCATCAAGCTACCATGTTTCTTTGAGATATCCGCATTCTTAAAATAAAAGAAACATATAGAAAGCTAAAATGGTAGGATTTGCAAAACATACAGGGATGATGCCATCTGCAATTTGCAGTTTGCACAACTCAGTTGCAGTAATTTTCAGCTTTTCAGCAGCCTGCAGAAAAACGTAAGTTTTAGTAGTCTATAATCAACTAATCAATTCAAGATAGCCAATGGTAAATGTCGCATAGACCTTTGGAGAAGCTTTAGAACTCTTCCACAAGATTGCTGCACATGCTTCTGGACTAAAAACAAGAAGAAAAGGGAAAACCCCAAAAGACAATAAGTTATTTTGATGCTTAATGGAACATAAAAAGAAAAACAAGCCGGAAATAAATTGCTAATCTCCTTATATATAGAACTCAATATTTCTCAGATTAATCTGGATATATGGCATGCCTACAGTCTTTGCCTCCTTCCAGGGAAGTGACCCCTTTAGAGATATATCTTACACAGTTAGTATACCTAGTACACTGTACACCACCACATGAGAATCATCTGGTGACTCAAACAATGAAGAAAAGACGAGCATGTTTCAATTTGAACAACTTCCCCAAGAAACTGAACCAGACAACCAAATCCAAATTACCTGGCAACATAGAAAACTGCATTTTCAAGCATTAGTAATGTATTAGCACAGCCAATGGCAAGGGCACCACCAGAGCCACCTTCTCCCATGACAATAGAGACAATAGGTACTTTCAGACCAAACATAGTACGCAAGTTGTGAGCTATGGCTTCACCCTGAATGTTTGTAAAACAAACAAATTAGATGACCCAGTACAAAATCTAAATAAGAACCATGTGGAATTTAAAGTACAACTATGACATACTTGGCCCAGTTCCTCAGATTTAAGGTCTGCATATGCACCAGGCGTATCGATGAAAGTAACAATTGGGAACCATGGTGATCTGCATAGTACATCATGCGCAGAGCTTTCCGGTAACTGCATGTTGATAGTGTTCCAAATATTAAACTTCGGAAAGCAGATTAAGTAGGACATGAAAGCTAATTTTATATCTTATCAAATGCACAATTATCTGTCATTTTGCGTACCCGTGAGGAGTAGGCATCCCAAAGTTACGCATAATATTCTCCTTCGTATTTCTACCTTTCTGGTGACCCATGAACATATACCTTCTACCATCTATAGTTCCTATACCAGTGACAATAGCAGGATCATCATACCCTGCTCGGTCCCCATGAAGCTCTACAAACTGTACAAGTTAAAAAAAGAAACCATTTAGTGTGCAATTATTTCCACCACTTGCAAACCCACTAATTGACTCATTTTTTCAAAAAGGGAAATTAAAGATCAAATCGACAATATGCAGAAAGTCCGTAAGCATGTAAAGAAATCAGTATCAGACCTTATCAGTAATGTTAAACACATGGTCAAGGAAAGTTGGCCTGTTTGGATGTCGTGCAATATTCACACGTTGTATAGGAGTCAGATTCGTATATAAATCCTTTAAAGCCTGAAATCAAAAGATGTAGGTCCGGAAAAAACATCAGAACCAGAACCAGAACTGGACAGGAATCAAAATATGTACATTAGCTACTAATTCTAGGGTGCGTTTGGTACGTGGGACGGGACGGAACGGGACGAGGCGTTCCGTCCCGCATTTGGTGCGCCAAAAATGGATGGAACGGGCTGTTCCACGGGACAGATTTTGGGTGTTTTTGCGTCCCACCTCCTCCCCTTGGAACGGGTTTGTTCCACGTCTGTGGAACACAATGTTTTACCATTTTAAGACAAATATACCCCATGTCTTTTTCAAAAATTACACCTTCGTTCCGTCCCGTCCCGTCTGCGTACCAAACGCACCCTAACTGAACGAGAACCATGCATTTATTCATCAAACCTGGTTGTATTTATTCTCCAGTGAAATAATTTGATCACTGAAGTCCAGCCCAGTTTCGTTCGCCATCTTCCGCACCTGTGATCAATAAATCTCTCATTAAAACAAAGCTTCTAAAGCATGACAATTTGTCAAACAAACGAAAAAACTTAAACCAGCTAGAAGGCTTACATCAATGATCTTCTTTTCGATATCAACAAGCGGCTTCTCAAACGGCAAGGTAACCGGCTTGGGCTTCTCCTTCAGCGGCTTGAAGTGAGAGAGATGAGTGAGCACTCCACCTTTGACATTCGGATCGGGATCCTCAGGCCAGGGGTACTCGTGCTTCTTCACCTTCCTGAGCTTGGCGGCCAACACAACGTTCCTCCTCATGCCCAACCGCACCTTCCCTAAAGCTCTCAACGGAACACCGCCGACGCCATTACTGGAGCTCCGAAAAAGATCCGAAGCGGTGCTTGTTCCAGCAAACGCCAGTGGAGAATGAGATATCGAAGCCATTCTCCGAACCCGAAGGCTAATTCCTCCAAGTTACACACTGATCTCGCCAATAAGATCAACGATTTCCAAATCCAAGATTATCTAGAACAAAAAGTACCAATCAATAGTTTCTGATTCTAATTAGCAGCTCCCCGCCAAAACAAAATCCACATAATTAAACTTAAAAAACTTTAAAATCGAACTAATTGAGAGTGAACCAAATATTCAACGTGCATGAAACAAAAAACCTAATTCAAGTGTTCCAATCGATAGAGAAAGTGAGAAATGAAACAAACAGCTGAAATTATCTCGGGAAAATCGAACTTTACCGGAAAGTAGCTGATTGGAGATCGCGCAGAGAGAGGATGAACTGAAAGAGAATGGGGGCGGAGAGAGAGATGAACGAGTGTTGTTATTGGCAATGCGAGGGAGGAGAGAGAGAGGAGAGATAAATGGCGCTTCGTGGAGATCGCCAAGGAGAGCGATGCAGTTTCTGTTTGGGATTTTCTTTAAGAGCCGAGCGTCCGTGTGTGAATTGGGCGATACTTCTTATGACTTCCGAGTTGGGAGTGAGTTGACTCAGTGGGGGAGGGGTGGCGAAAGGGAGGGACCTGGTTCGAGTTAGGAAAATTATAAATAAATAGCCAGCATTTTTCGGTTTGGCCGTTGAGGGGAGAGATGATTCTGAGGCACGTGTGGTTCTGGCTCTTGCGCACGTGACTTGGGGCTCGATGCCGTCGATGTTCAAACTCCTAGGGCTACACTCCTAATTATCCTTTTTTTTTTTTTTTTTTTAGTACATCGATTTTTACATTATGAGAAGAGAGAGCTCGGTTAAGCCACATAATTGGTAGCCTAATTTGGTATCAAATTTGCTATCTACGATATTCGAACTTAGAACATCTCATTTTCAAATGAAAATGAACAATTAATGGACGGTACAATGGATATATGAATGAATCTATTGTGCATTCCTTTTACCCTTGGCTCTTGGGGGTATGGTAATAGTAAATGCGAAGGCGATAGTCAAGACTTTGTATATATAAAAAGGTTTTTCAGATGTTGAAAATAGATGAAAACTAAATATCAATTTTATTTTAAAAAAGATTGTGATTTCTTTTTTATAGGTGATGCACATTTATCATATTATGTGATCACACATACCCACAATGTGTTAATAAGCGTTTGCCTAGTTTGGTAGTGCTTCTATAAAGATAAAGATGTCATTGTTTGATATAAAGAGTTAACAAGGTGTTTAGATTCCAATAACAAATAAAATGCATGTTTGATCCTTAATATTCATGCAAAGTGTTACAATTAAACCTCCAAGATATCACACAAGAACCTTTCAGACAATCAATAAAAACAACATGCTTGAATCCAACAACAACATGCTTCTAATAAAAACATTTTCTCCACAACCCTTTGTGTCTAAAAGTGCTTCGTGGGCGAGTATTCTCAAAGCCACCCTAAATAGTGTAAATTAAGACATAAAACAAAGACAAGAAGATGGAGCAGATATCGCCGGCCCCTCCAAATTCCAAATTCCAAATAAGTAGGAAATGGCATGACGTGAGTGAAAAATATTTGAACCTCCCTCTCTAATTCTGATCGTTGTTAGGTTATAGGTTGTTGGTTGGTGGACCGTGCCATGCTTGCTATTGGTGTTAACAAGCATCAAATTTAACAAAACTGCAAACTACGATAGTCAAAGTCTGAGTTTTTAATTAAGTGAAGAAATAGAAAAAAAATGAGAATATGAGGATGTCAAAACCAACTAAAAATTGGAGTTCATCATGAAAGATGAGATAATGGTAGTTGTTATCATAGTGAATGAAATAATATATAATTTGATTAATGTTTTGTAAAGATGGTTTTTTATTTTTTTTATTTTGTTATATTGGAGGTTTCGAATCTGGACCTATTATACTCTTACTTATTACTTAACTCACTCTCACCACTAGGCTAAACCTCAATGACTTTAGCAGCTTGACTCCTAACTGGCTTATTGCACTACACATTGTTGGGCTAGTTGAGATGTGTGTTTCGTTGGGCAATGCTGAGTTTAGCTAATGTGACAGTATATGAGTGATAATTATGTTGTATTTATCGATATGTTGCATTGAACTGTCAGCTCATACCCCGCTTTTGCAATGCATCAAAAAATGTTTTGTACGCGTAATGGGTAGGGCTACCTATTGAAAATGAGTGTTGCCTCTCGTTGTCCGGCGCGGTACCGGCGTCAATGAGGAATGCTACCTGAAGCATGAGGTTTACCATGCACAAATACTTTCCTCAAAGAGAAGGGAGAAGGAAAACGAGGGATGAGATGGAAAACGATTAAAAAGCCCAGGCCCAATCTGTTTATAGGCGGGACTGGGCTACCCGCGCGTAGGAAATTAAAAAGCCAAGGCCCAAACTACAAACGGCTTCGTCTCGCAGACTACGACGCCGTTTCAACCCCCACGCATTTGCTTTATCCGGTCTTGGACTTCACATCCATCCACGGTCGTCGTCCCCGAGCAGCTTTCTCCATGGCAGAGTCAATTCTCGAGCAGCTAAGGAACGGAACTGCTCGGTTCGAGCTCGCCGCCTCCCCCGTCCTTTCAATTTCAGCTTCCAATTCTCCGGTGAACCCAACGGCGTCGTTCGGGGACCACAGCCACCGGTTCTTCGCTAGAATTGGACCGCCACTGTTAATTTCCCACTCCATGTTTCAGCATTTCGTCGTTTTTAGATTTTCGTTTAATTTTGTTTGACTTCATAGGAATTAAACCCTAAAGTTCGTACCTTTTCGTTTTTACAGAGGCAGGATCATCGGCGATGAAGAAAGTTGAACGTTTATCGGTTCAGAAAGTTACCGGCGACGGACGCTGTTTATTTCGTGCTCTGGTATTTTGTGATTTTTTTACATTTCAGACTTACAGCCAGTAAGAGTAAATTTCGATACTTTAGACCACTCTAATGTACTGGAAAGGGATTCAAACTTGTTGGAATTTATTAGGTTTATTTAGGAAATTAATTAGAGATTTGATTTGATTTTGTATTAGGGTATTTTTGGCATTTACGCATTAGGGTTTCTTAGGTTTATTGCTTTATAAATATAGCTTGTAATTTAGTTTGAGAATCATGTTATTCACAATGTAGCCTCTTGGAGTTTATGTAGCCGTCTCGGTGATTTTGTAGTGTTTGATATCAATAATATTTTTAGTTTTGTAATCCGTTTGTTCGTTTATTATGGTATACGCATTCTGATATTCAGCTAAACTTAGGTGGGGGAGGGCGCATTATCCTGAACGGAAAGGGATCTTCAGATCTCTTTCTCTTAATCCATCAAATCAAGGTATCCGTGCCATTAAATTTGATTCAACGGCTGAAGTTATTATAAGTTTATTATGATACAGATTTCCTGATTTGGTGGATTAGGAGGAAAGGGATCCCTTCTATCTTGAACGTCCGCTAAAAGCCTAAAACTAGTAAATTTTGAGCTCTATCCCTTTCTCTCAAACAACAACAACAACAACAAAGCCTTTTCCCACTAAGTGGGGTCGGCTATATGAATCCTAGAACGCCATTGCGCTCGGTTTTGTGTCATGTCCTCCGTTAGATCCAAGTACTCTAAGTCTTTTCTTAGAGTCTCTTCCAAAGTTTTCCTAGGTCTTCCTCTACCCCTTTGGCCCTGAACCTCTGTCCCGTAGTCACATCTTCGAACCGGAGCGTCAGTCGGCCTTCTTTGCACATGTCCAAATCATCGGAGCCAATTTTCTCTCATCTTTCCTACAATTTCGGCTACTCCTACTTTACCTCGGATATCCTCATTCCCAATCTTATCCTTTCTCGTGTGCCCACACATCCCACGAAGCATCCTCATCTCCGCTACACCCATTTTGTGTACGTGTTGATGCTTCACCGCCCAACATTCTGTGCCATACAACATCGCTGGCCTTATTGCCGTCCTATAAAATTTTCCCTTGAGCTTCAGTGGCCTACGACGGTCACACAACACGCCGGATGCACTCTTACACTTCATCCATCCAGCTCGTATTCTATGGTTGAGATCTCCATCTAATTCTCCGTTCTCTTGCAAGATAGATCCTAGGTAGTGAAAACGGTAACTTTTTGTGATCTTCGCTAGATTGCTCCGGTCATTAGTGTGGATAAGTATATAAATGGATAGAGATAGGAAAGCAAACACAAGATGTACGTGGTTCATCCAGATTGGCTACGTCCACGGAATAGAAGAGTTCTCATTATTAATTGTGAAGGGTTTACACAAGTACATAGGTTCAAGCTCTCCTTTAGTGAGAGTACAAGTGAATGATTTAGTACAAAATGACATTAGGAAATATTGTGGGAGAATGATCTCGTAATCACGAAACTTCTAAGTATCGGAGTGTGGTGTCGTCTTGACTTGCCTTATCTGTCTCATAGGTAGATGTGGCATCTTCTCTGGAAGTACTCTTCCTCCATCCAGGGTGGTATCTTTAACTGGTGGAGATGCACAAGGTAATGTATCAATTTCACTTGAAGCTTACTTGTAGTCTCAAGCTTGGTCAAGCGCGATACAAACCATGTAGTAGGAGTCCCCCAAGTCGCCGAGCTAGGGGGTCTGCTGAAAAGAGGTGACAGACAAGGTAAGCAATCAGAGCTCCGACTGATTGTTCACCTTCTCCCCATCTTGCAGCAGCATGAAGGATAAAGAGAAGAAAAATGAGAAGAGATGATATGAGATACTTTTGCTTTTGAAGAAGTAACTTTCCACAGGCTTAGGCTTCTTGAACTTGAACTGGAGGGTTTTTCTGGTTTCCTCCAGAGTATAAGGCCGACTGAAGAATTTGAGGGTCAAAACAGTCCATCAAATCTAGAGTACGTTCCACCCTGCTGATATGGGATACTTTTGCTTTTGACAGAGTAATGGATGTATCGGCACGTGTGCTGTTACGCTTGTCGCCACATGCTTCCTTGTATCCTTCGCACTTGCCCTATCTGTTCCTCAAGCAGATGCGGAATCTTCCCTGGAAACATAAGATGTTGAAGATGAGTACTCGAGAGCAATGCCAGGTAAGTAATCAGGTAAGGGTTCCAGGCAGTCAGTTCCTGGCTGGAAGCTTAATTCCAAGTGCTGACTGATTGCTCTCTTTCTCCTTGTCTTGCAGGTAAAAACAAGGCCAAAGGAAAAGACAGGGAAAAAGCATGATATGGGATACTCTTGCTTTTAACCCTGATGATATGAGATATTCTTGCTCTAGTATAGCTTGTTTGCAGAGGTATTATCGGGGGAAAGAAAGCTGAATATTTCGAAAGGCTTCGTTGGGAGTGCCCTCTCAGATATGATGAAGGGTTGAGCATTTTTGCAGGTCTGCCTGTCCGTTGGGGATGGAGGTCGACATATATAGGAGTCTCCCTAACAACAAGTAGTAATGCTATTCCTTTACCCTGCTTGGTCATAGCACGGTAGTGGGGAGCTGCCAGTTTCACATGTTTTAACTCTGTCAGAGCACTTTGAAAAAGTGGTCTGTGGTATCTGGCTCTCGAGATTCGGAGAACGATGCCTCTTCGATTTTTGAGGCAAAGCTAATCATGTTGGGAGTCTGGCTCTCGAGATTCGGAGGGCGGTGCCTCTTCGATTTTGGAGCAAGCAATCCTGTTGGGAGTGTTGTCTCGAATGTGAGTAAAGGTTGGGCATGTTTGCTAGTCTACCTTGCCACGAAGCACAAAGGTTGACACACAGGGACTTTCCAATTATCCAGCAATGGTACTGTTCCTTTACCCTCTCTTCGCTTTTGAGAGAGTAGTCATGTTGGGAGTCTGGCTCTCGAGATTCGGAGGACGGTGCCTCTTCGATTTTGGAGCAAGCAATCTTGTTGGGAGTGTTTTCTCGAAAGTGAGTAAAGGTTGGGCATGTTTGCTAGTCTACCTTGCCACGAAGCACAGAGGTTGACACACAGGGACTTTCCAATTATCCAGCAGTGGTACTGTTCCTTTACCCTTGTGGGTAATAATATGGTAGCTAGACCTTCAAAATTTATGTGTCTAAACTTTGTTAGTGCTGTTTCTTTGCTATTCTTTTACCTTTCTTGGTCAGAGCGATGTAGTGGGAGCTGCAAGCTTCACGTGCTCAACTTTGGCAGAGAACTTTGGCAAAGTTATCTGTGGTACCCATGAGCTATGGTTGCGTGTGGGAAGTGGGTGATTGAACAGTAAGATTCATGTGCTTTCTACTTCACCAGAAGTCTTCGACAGAATGCCCATAATTTCTGCAAAGCTGAGTGTGCGTGTGACAGGTGCTGACAAGGCTAGAAAAGTAGGTGCCTCTTCGATTTCTGAGATCGGCCCTCGTGGTCTCTGAGCAGCCCAGCTTTTGAGAAAGCGAGCGCCTCTTCAATTGATTCGGAGAACGATGCCTCATCGATTTTTGAGAAAGCAATCATGCTGGGGGTCTGGCTCTCGAAGATTCGGGGAGCAGTGTCTCTTCGATTTTTGATAAAGTAATCACGTTGGGAGTCTGGCTCTCGAGATTCGGAGGGCGGTGCCTCTTCGATTTTGGAGCAAGCAATCTTGTTGGGAGTGTTTTTCTCGAATGTGAGTAAAGGTTGGGCATGTTTGCTAGTCTACCTTGCCACGAAGCACAGAGGTTGACACACAGGGACTTTCCAATTATCCAGCAATGGTACTGTTCCTTTACCCTCTCTTCGATTTTTAAGAAAGTAGTCATGTTGGGAGTCTGGCTCTCGAGATTCGGAGGACGGTGCCTCTTCGATTTTGGAGCAAGCAATCTTATTGGTAGTGTTTTCTCGAATGTGAGTAAAGGTTGGACATGTTTGCTAGTCTACCTTGCCACGAAGCACAGAGGTTGACACACAGGGACTTTCCAATTATCCAGCAGTGGTACTGTTCCTTTACCCTTGTGGGGTAATAATATGGTAGCTAGACCTTCAAAATTTATGGGTCTAAACTTTGTTAGTGCTGTTTCTTTGCTATTCTTTTACCCTTCTTGGTCAGAGCGATGTAGTACGAGCTGCAAGCTTCACGTGCTCAACTTTGGCAGAAAACTTTGGCAAAGTTATCTGTGGTACCCATGAGCTATTGTTGCATGTGGGAAGTGGGTGATTGAACAGTAAGATTCATGTGTTTTCTACTTCCCCAGAAGTCTTCGACAGAATGCCCATAATTTCTGCAAAGCTGAGTGTGCGTGTGACGGGTGCTGACAAGGCTGGAAAAGTAGGTACCTCTTCGATTTCTGAGATCGGCCCTCGTGGTCTCTGGGGAGCCCAGCTTTTGAGAAAGCGAGCGCCTCTTCGATTTCTGAGATCGGCCTTCGTGGTCTTTGAGCAGCCCAACTTTTGAGAAAGCAAACGCCTCTTCGATTTCTGAGATCAACCCTCGTGATCTCTAAGCAGCCCAGCTTTTGAGAAAGCAAACGCCTCTTCGATTTCTGAGCAGGCGCCTCTTCGATTTCTGAAGCTCCGTCGAGTGCAGATTTTTTATAGAGGCTGGCATTAAGTTCCAAAGCACACTTGAATCTCCACCAGTAGAAGCTTCATTCTTGCACTTCTAAGATCTTGATTTGTCCGACCTCTTCTCTCTTCAACACCTTTGAAAATGTCTGGCCCCTCCGACCGTCGTTTTGACTTGAACATTGTTGAAGAGGCAGCCCCGCCTTCTCCAGACACAACATTATGGCGCCCCATCCTTCGTCTCCCCTACTGGTCCTCTTTTACCGTTGGGGATTCCGTGATGAAGAATGATATGACCGCTGCGGTAGTGGCCAGGAACCTTCTCACTCCCAAAGATAACAGACTACTTTCCAAACGGTCTGATGAGTTAGCTGTTAAGGATTCGCTGGCTCTCAGTGTTCAGTGTGCAGGTTCTGTGTCTAATATGGCCCAACGCCTATTTGCTCGAACCCGCCAAGTTGAATCCTTGGCGGCTGAAGTGATGAGTCTCAAACAGGAGATTAGAGGGCTCAAGCATGAGAATAAACAGTTGCACCGGCTCGCACATGACTATGCTACAAACATGAAGAGGAAGCTTGACCAGATGAAGGAAACTGATGGTCAGGTTTTACTTGATCATCAGAGATTTGTGGGTTTGTTCCAAAGGCATTTATTGCCTTCGTCTTCTGGGGCTGTGTACCGCGTAATGAAGCTCCGAATGATCAACCTCTGATGCCTCCTCCTTCTTGGGTTCTGTCCAGTACTGAGGCTCCAAATGATCCCCCTCCGGTGCCTTCTCTTTCTGGGGCTCTACCGACTGCTGAGACTTCTCCTAAGCAACCTTTGTGAAGGCTCCGTCTTGTGTGTTTATTTTGACTCATGTATATGTACATATTTGTAGCTGATCGGGGATATCAATAAATAAGCTTTCCTTCATTTCAACGTATTGTGTTAAATACACCAAAGCCTTCTTCGCTAAGTTCTTTGAATTTTCTTTTGTTGAAGCTTGTATGTTGAAGCTTTCTGAGTGGAGCATGTAGGTTGGGGTAGTGTTCCCTTAATTTCCCGAGTGAGGAAAACTTCTCGGTTGGAGACTTGGAAAATCCAAGTCACTGAGTGGGATCGGCTATATGAATCTTAGAACGCCATTGTGCTCGATCCTGTGTCATGTTCCTTCGTTTAGTTAGATCCAAGTACTCTAAGTCTTTTCTTAGAGTCTCTTCCAAAGTTTTCCTAGGTCTTCCTCTACCCCTTCGGCCCTGAACCTCTGTCCCATAGTCGCATCTTCTAATCGGAGCGTCAGTAGGCACCTTCCGATTTTCTGCACATGTTTCCAAACCACCGTAACCGATTTTCTCTCATCTTTCCTTCCTTTCGGGCTACTCCTACTTTACCCTGGATATCCTCATTCCTAATCTTATCCTTTCTCGTGTGCCCACCATCCAACGAAGCATCCTCATCTCCGCAACACCCATTTTGTGTACGTGTTGATGTTTAACCGCCCAACATTCTGTGCCATACAGCATCGCCGGCCTTATTGCCGTCCTATAAAATTTTCCCTTGAGCTTCAATGGCATACGGCGGTCACACAACACGCCGGATGCACTCTTCCACTTCATCCATCCAGCTTGTATTCTATGGTTGAGATCTCCATCTAATTCTCCGTTCTTTTGCAAGATAGATCCTAGGTAACGAAAACGATCGCTTTTTGGTATTTCTTGATCTCCGATCCTCACCCCTAACTCGTTTTGGCCTCCATTTGCACTGAACTTGCACTCCATATATTTCTGTCTTTGATCGGCTTAGGCGAAGACCTTTAGATTCCAACACTTCTCTCCAAAGGTTAAGCTTTGCATTTACCCCTTCCTGAGTTTCATCTATCAACACTATATCGTCTGCGAAAAGCATACACCAAGGAATATCATCTTGAATATGTCCTGTTAACTCATCCATTACCAACGCAAAAAGGTAAGGACTTAAGGATGAGCCTTGATGTAATCCTACAGTTATGGGAAAGCTTTCGGTTTGTCCTTCATGAGTTCTTACGGCAGTCTTTGCTCCTTCATACATATCCTTTATAGCTTGGATATATGCTACTCGTACTCTTTTCTTCTCTAAAATCCTCCAAAGAATGTCTCTTGGGACCCTATCATACGCTTTTTCCAAATCTATAAAGACCATGTGTAAATCCTTTTTCCCATCTCTATATCTTTCCATCAATCTTCGTAAGAGATAGATTGCCTCCATGGTTGAGCGCCCTGGCATGAACCCGAATTGGTTGTCCGAAACCCGTGTCTCTTGCCTCAATCTATGCTCAATGACTCTCTCCCAGAGCTTCATTGTATGACTCATTAGCTTAATACCCCTATAGTTCATGCAATTTTGTACGTCGCCCTTATTCTTGTAGATAGGCACCAAAGTGCTCGTTCGCCAACGTTTTCAAAATCCTATTGAAAAGGTCAGTGAGCCATGTTATACCTGTCTCTCCCAAAAGTTTCCACACTTCGATTGGTATATTGTCTGGGCCTATTGCTTTTTTATGCTTCATCTTCTTCAAAGCTACAGCCACTTCTTCCTTCCGGATTCGACGATAAAAAGAGTAGTTTCTACACTCTTCTGAGTTACTCAACTCCCCTAAAGAATCACTCATTTCATGTCCTTCATTGAAAAGATTATGAAAATAACCTCTCCATCTGTCTTTAACCGCGTTCTCTGTAGCAAGAACCTTTCCATCCTCATTTGATGCACCTCACTTGGTTTAAGTCCCTTGTTCTTCTTTTCCCTTGCTCTAGATAGTTTATAGATATCCAACTCTCCTTCTTTGGTATCTAGTCGTTTATACATATCGTCGTAAGCCGCTAACTTAGCTTCTCTGACAGCTTTTTTCGCCTCTTGCTTCGCTTTTCTATACCTTTCACCATTTTCATCGGTCCTCTCCTTGTATAAGGGCTTTACAACATTCCTTCTTAGCCTTCACCTTTGTTTTGTACCTCCTCATTCCACCACCAAGATTCCTTTTGGTGTGGGGCAAAGCCCTTGGACTCTCCTAATACCTCTTTTGCTACTTTTCGGATACAACTAGCCATGGAATCCCACATTTGGCTAGCTTCCCCCTCTCTATCCCACACACATTGGGTGATTACCTTCTCTTTGAAAATGACTTGTTTTTCTTCTTTTAGATTCCACCATCTAGTCCTTGGGCACTTCCAAGTCTTGTTTCTTTTGTCTTACTCTTTTGATATGTACATCCATCACCAACAAGCGATGTTGATTAGCCACGCTCTCTCCTGGTATAACTTTGCAATCCTTACAAGTTATACGATCCCCTTTCCTCATTAGAAGAAAATCTATTTGTGTTTTTGACGACCCACTCTTGTAGGTGATCACATGTTCTTCTCTCTTCTTAAAGAAGGTGTTGGCTAAGAAGAGATCATATGCCATTGCAAAATCCAAGATAGCTTCCCCATCCTCGTTTCTCTCCCCAAAACCATGGCCACCATGAAAACCTCCATAGTTGCTTGTCTCCCTGCCCACGTGTCCATTTAAATCTCCTCCTATAAATAACTTCTCCGTCTGAGCAATTCCTTGCACCAAGTCTCCAAGATCTTCCCAAAATTTCTCCTTCGAACTCGTATCCAACCCTACTTGAGGTGCGTACGCACTAATCACATTGATAAGTTCTTGTCCTATTACAATCTTGATTGCCATGATTCTATCTCCTACCCTCTTGACATCTACAACATCTTGTACCAAGGTCTTGTCCATCTATCCCTTTCTCTCAAAGTTATAAAATTTATTTAGGTGAAAGGAATGGCTTTGAATAAAGGGGTTCCTCTTAGCCCAAGGCAAGAGAAAGATGATGCAGGTATATGCTGGATTTTTACACAAAAGTTCTCAATTTCAATGTGGATTTCAAGGATTTAGAACTTATCCGATGGATGCCAAGAAAAGAATTGTCGAATTTGTTTGAATATATTATATCAAATTGCTCGATAAATTGGTTGCAAGGAGAATGTTTAGGACTGGTATAGGTTGCACTAATGTTTGGTTTGGAATTTTATTCTTATTATTTTTGGTGGCAAACTGGCAATTGAGAATGACCAAGTAAAGTATTGTGAATTCATAGACGAACTACGGATGGCTGTGAAAGAGGTTATATGCGAAGATGAGGAAGAGCGCCTTAAGTATGAACCTGCTCTGGTTGCAATCATCGTCGATGAGTCCTTAAAGCGGTAAATCTCTATCTTTTTTTTTTTTACTATAGAAGCGGTTTCAGGTTTTGTTGTTCTGGCAGGTGCCTTAGTATGTCGTTATAATGGAAATGAGATGTGCTATCGACACTCTTTTTTACTTTTCACACACCTCTTGTTAATTTCTGTCATTTGATCTTCTTCAATTCATCCGATTTAACGACCGAAAATTAAAGGGTGTGCAAGAAGTAAAAAGGGGTGTGTGAATATCACACCCCAATAGAAATTAATCTCCTATATTTGTAAATTTCTTTCCGCATTTATTGCCAGCGCATCAATAGACCGGATTTCTGGGGAGGAGAGTCCGAGCTGCTGGTCAGTCAGTTTTCTTGATCAGACTATTTCCTTTCTAACACTTTGTCGCTGTGTAAGTATTGTATAAATAGTATCATTGGTTGTCAGCTGTAGATATTGTCAATCAAGTTTTGTTTTAGGGAGGTGGTATCTGAAGTTATCTAATCATTGTAATTTAGCTTTCAATTAAAGGCTTACAGTCCCCAATAGGAGATTATCCATATGGAGGGAGTTGATGTTTTAAACCAAATGCTACTTCTCATAATTGTTGCTGTAATTCGTTTCTCGCAGTTGTTTATGTGAATGTTGAGTTCTCTTTCTCTCTCTCACTCTATCCTGCACGTTTTGTGCGACCTATCACCCTCTTCAATACTGCAGGTGCTGTCAAAGTTATGTGGGCAGCCAATCGCTGTTTACATACCGGAGCATGAGGTATATTTCTCACTTAAAATTCTTACCTTTGTTGATGCCAATGTATCTTTTAAAATTCTTACCTTCATCGACTTGCTAACTATTTGTGCACGGAGCATCTTCATTCATTTCTTCCCCACCTTATAACCCAATATATAATCTTCTGACATTGGCGTCTGGATATTGTTACAAGGGTGGAGATCGTTGGCATTGCACATTTTCTTAGTGTGTGCGTTTATATATCTATTCTAGCAGCGCGTTTTCTCTTCAATTAGTCGGATTGTGACATTTACTGTGTTTTAGTTGTGATCTGTTGGTTCAAATATCTTGTAGCATACAAGTGGTGGACGGGGTTCCGGTTTCATTCCGATTGCAGAATATGGAAGCGAGTTTACTAAAGGTTCTAGAAACAAGGAGCCCAGAAAGGTTGTGAGACTCCTATACAGTGGCAGGAACCATTATGATCTGCTTGTATGAGAGAGAGAGATGCATTTTGTTGTTGTATAACTATCAAGAAAGATTTAGAATTTAATACAAAGTGTATTTTTGTTTTAATTTAATAGCAATGTGTCTTCTTTTGTTTGCCTTTTTTTCTTTGTTTGACACACAAAATTTCGGTTCTTTGACATTTTCGGTTGAGTTACCAAACCGAAACCAGCCCTGTGTACCATATAGCCTAGTCCCTAGTGCTTTCTTTTGAAAGTTCAAAAAGATTATAGGGCTCAAAACTTAATTAAAATTTAAAGAGGCGAGTGGGAAAAATGTTATAAAAGTTCAAAAAGTATCACCAAATTTTTTCCATTTTACAAAGAGGAATGATAAGAATAATTGTCGAAATGTGCATGAGTGATTATCAGTAAATATATGTAAATTTCTTATGTGACTACATATTAATAGTTGAGAGTTGTTTGTTAGAGCATAACCACATTTATATCATATTATTGGCTTTCAAAACATAAATAATTAAAAAGGTAAAAAAATGGGTTACCGCTGTAATTATTGCTGAATTTTTTTTTAAAACAGTTTTTTGAAAAAGTTGAGACTAAAATTGTGTTTGGTAAATGGAAAAAAAGTGTTTCTTTATTTTTAAAAAAAATTATGAGTCCAAAATAGTAAAAAGCAGAAGCAGCTCTACATCTACTTCTGAAAATCTCGTTTTTTTTCACAACACAACAACGCCAAACTAATCCTTAATTATTTACTTTAACTGAATCAAAGCCAACATGATCCTATTTACTTTAACTGAATCAAAGCCAACATGATCCTATCTGGATCCTTTTGGTGAGGATTTTGGAAATCCGTGAATCGTGTCCGTTCATCATAATACATCGTATGGTTATTTTTTGTCCTGTATTGTTTGTGTTTAATTTTAAATAAAATATTTAAAATAATTTTTTACTACACAATGTACGACGAACGGATATAATTCACGAATCTTCGGATCCGGATTCGAATCGAAGTACAAAATACATCCTTGAAATGGATTGGATTTAGATCTTCCTTCCCACTTCGAGCAAAACATAAAAAATACAAAAAGCAGAAAGAAACGAACCTTGTCCTCGCGCGTCTTTACACGTGTCATGCACGTGGTTTCTCACCAAAACGCCCTCGTCACATATAAAACGTTAAACTCCCAATTCCATATTATAAAATAAATAAAATAATTAAAATGTAAATAAAACGCAAAATTGGTATTTTTCCTGTCAATTCCTCAATCTTCAATCCTTTTACGCCCTTCTCCCGCAAATCTTCAATCCAGTTTCTACTCAATTCTCAGACACGAAGATTGTGAGAATCTAGGGTTTCCGTTTTTTGTAATTTGGGGATTTTTTTTTTACGATGGAAGGGGCGAGCAACGGAGGGATGTTGTACCACGAGGTACAAGAGTCGAAGCTATGCGCCGTGCATTGCGTGAACACGGTGCTGCAGGGTCCTTTCTTCTCCGAATTTGATTTGGCGGCGCTCGCCTCCGATCTCGATCGGAAGGAGCGGCAGATGATGCTCGTCGAGGGCGGCTCACACGCCGGCGATTTCCTCTCCGAGGAGTCTCACAACGTCTCCTTGGACGGCGATTTCAGTATTCAGGTTAGGTTCCAATTCCAATTCTAATCCTCAAATTTCAATTATTTCTTCCGTCTTTAAGCAAAGTTTCGATTTTTCTGTTTGGAGGTATCGACATTGTCTGTTTTAATTTTTTGCTGTAACTTAAATTTGCTTTTAATTTTTTTTTTTTTACTGATTTATTGTATAATTTGGAACTTTTGACAGAGTTAGTCTGTGATTTTATCGTTTGATTCAGTGGTATAGTAATCTTTGTTGCATTGGGTTATTTGGTTTTTGAATTTAACGTTTGAGCTAGTTGGAGGGGGGAAAAAGTAGAGTCTTTTGTTTTTTGAAACATTTTGAATATATGATTCTCTGTTTGTTAATTGTTTATGAATGTTTACGAATATATGATGCTTTCCATCTGGGTTTTCTTGTCATGGGATTTGTATTAGTTAATTCCATTATTCCACCAGGAGAAAAGCACTGGGATTTGGCTTTACAAAAGATTGATTAGGTGGTTCTTGAACCTTTGTAATGTTATAAGGAGAAAATCGGTTCCGGTGATTTGGACATGTGCAAAGAAGGCCGACTGACGCTCCGGTTCGAAGATGTGACTACGGGACAGAGGTTCATGGCCGAAGGGGTAGAGGAAGACCTAGGAAAACTTTGGAAGAGACTCTAAGAAAAGGCTTAGAGTACTTGGATCTAACGGAGGACATGACACAAAACCGAGCGCAATGGCGTTCTAGGATTCATATAGCCGACCCCACTTAGTGGGAAAAGGCTTTGTTGTTGTTGTTGTTGTTGTTGAGTGCAAGGGAGGGTTTCTGGAATATAGCTGGAGCCATGTTGAATTGAGGTTGATCTTGGCATGGCTTTCCGTGGGACGTATGCCTTGAATAATTTTTGGCCAAGAAAAGCTTGTCACGTGGTTGTTTCATACTAGAGCTGATAGTACCGGTTAACTAGCAGTACCAAACAACTTGATTATTGAGTACTATGATTAGTATTTGGCTTCCATGTGTTTGTGTGTGTGGCCACGTGTACCAAAGGACTCGATCACCAATTACTTTTGATTAGCTGTTTACTTTTATGTGCGTGTGTGCGCACGCGCATGTGCGTGGCCACGTGCATGTGCGTGGCCACGTGTTTTGTGGTATTAACTATCTAGGTTTAGGCTTTTCTAGAGAGCAATGATGAAGCCAGACCTGTATTTTAGTAAGACTAACTTGGATGAAGGGCTTTTCACTTGATTATTCCCCTATGTATGCGTGTCTGTACAAATTGGATATGTATACATATGGGATGTTTTAAATGAGGGATAGAACAATTTACGGGTGTAGTATTGTACGAATGATGAAGTTGAGGTCATTACGATGCCTTAGTTAGTCAATCTGTTAATGCTGAGTGAACATATGCAAATGTTCGTACTGAATTATTCTTTGTTCTTCAGTTTTATTATTTTTCACTTGCATGAAAAATTCAAGAGTACCAATACTACTACACTTTACTTTGTCATGGCCTTAACCCTGTGTCTCCCAGTCACAAATCTCTGGTGGAAAATGTGCTTCCTCCAAGGGTATTTTTTGGTTTTCATGTTGGTTTATTTCACCAATGGAAGCTTGTAAGCGACTTGGTCCTATATACTTCGTGATGATTACGCTTCGACATGTTTTGATACACCCATGGAGAGTACAACTTCCCCCAGCATGAGCAGATTGTGGTTACCCTAATTGGCGATGAATTGTATGGATATATGACAGTGGAAAAGCAAAACAAGCTATTAATTAGGTTCTTTTATATGGACTTATTTTATATGTTATTACGTTGAAATGGATTTGCCTTCGGGTTTCCTCATTTGCAAAATAGTAATTACTAAATTTGGAAATATTTTTAGTTCCGTAGCATTTTATTTTGCTGGGTGTGATTCCATTCCATACCGAGTTCATATATTAGTAATTTAGCTTTGTACTGAATTTCCTTATCATTTTATGCTGCCAAACAAAGTTAGTGGTTATATACAAGTATGTAGTTGGTTCTTTTTTGGTTAATTTACTTTTAAGCTTTGATTGTAACAACAGGTTGCAGTTTCATTATTTTTTATCATGATTATTGCTTTGCAAGAGATTCCAGAATTTCCATGATTTGCAAACCATTGAAGTTTTCATTCGCAGGTTCTACAAAGGGCTTTAGAGGTTTGGGATCTGCAGGTCATCCCCCTTGATTCTCCGGTTGCTGAGCCCGCCCAGATAGATCCTGAGCTTGAAAATGCATTTATCTGTCATTTGCAGGATCATTGGTTTTGTATCCGGAAAGTGAGTGGAGAGTGGTATAACTTCGACAGTCTTTATGCGGCTCCATTGCACCTCTCAAAGTTTTACCTTTCAGCCTATCTGGACACACTAAAAGGCTCGGGTTGGAGCATTTTCCTGGTGAGAGGCAACTTCCCAAAAGAGTGTCCCATCTCATCCTCCGAAGCTTCTAATGGTTATGGGCAGTGGCTTTCACCTGAAGATGCTGAGAGGATAAATAAATCCTGCAACTCCACAAAGGCTCAGCCTGAAAGAACAAATTTGAATCCACAATCTTCAGCACAATTTCTATCAAATGAGGAAGCAGATTTGCTTTCAGAAATGGAAGATGAGGATTTGAAAGCTGCTATAGCTGCCAGTCTTATGGATTCTACCCCAGCCATTACCTGTGCTCAAGCCGGAAGCCCACATTATAGCAGCAGAAACCCTCAGGACAGCAACGACAACCCTCAGAACAGCACCCAAAACCCACAAGACAGCACCAACAACTCTCAGAACAGCACCCAAAACCCTCAGGACAGCAACGACAACCCTCAGAATAGCACCCAAAACCCTCAAGACAGCACCGACAACTCTCAGAACATTACCGGAAACCCTCAGAACATTACCGGAAACCCCCAGAACATTACTGGAAACCCCCAGAACATTACCGGAACCCCTCAGAACATTACTGGAAATCCTCAGAACATTACTGGCAGCCCTCAGATCAGCACTGGCAATCCTCGGATCAGCACTGGCAATCCTCAGATAGAAAGTTCAGGGAGCCTTGAGAAAATTGATTGAGCAAAGGAAAGTATATTCTTTCTTAAATTTTATGTTTATGGTTGAGGGCAATGATCTATGTCAGGTTAGACAGTTGATTTACAATCCTTGGTGCAAAGTCATCGCACTTTGCCGCATATACAGCTCTGTTATACTTTATACTTTCGTCAACTCAAAATGTATAAACTTGAAGAAATAACCTCCCAGTTTTTCCATTGGATGATTACAATTTTTTGCATTTTGGTAATACTTCCTCGAGGCATAAGTCATTGGGGATAAGTTTCTGTCACATTTTCTCAAAGGTCTGGTTTTCTTGCCTCATCTGTTGGGGGTAGTTTTTGAGCGGGAGATGCTGTCCTCCAAAGATGCATTCCTCTTCAGGTGACTAGGAAGAGAGGAATGTATCGTTGGTTGTATGCAAGAATCTTTCCTTCTGAAGGTAAGCATTTTCTTTCCATTCCCAAGCTTAGGAGTAGACCAGAAAGAACTAACGTTGACAAGTTTAAACATAATTAAGATAGCTACCTAGTACTATGGTATGACAGTATTCATTTTCATTTATAAGTGAGAGGTCTTAAGTTCGATTTATGCCAAAGACGAATTTGAATTACATTATTGCTAATCTATTGTGAGATTAAGCTCACCTCGTCTCTCTTAGTATAAAAACTATCGTTTGTTAAACAAAAACCATAATTAAGATAACAAACAAGTACTTAATCAATAATTAAATTAGCTAGTACTCTTATTGAATGATACTTTAATTTTTACCCTTAAGATCTCGAGTTTGAACCCTACTCCTCTAATAATAGAGCAACATAATTAAAGATAAATTTGGTAAGAAAGATAAATTTGATAATCTCTTAATTCTTACCAGTATTATTTACCAAAAATAATCGATAAAAAAAATCCAACATCGGAGTGATCGTTCGTGGTCACAAAATGGGCCCACAAGAGCCGACCAACGACCCTAAGTGGACGAGAATATCCTCGAAATGACAGTAGTACCCTTAAAAAGTAGACTCACCCAAGGGTGAAAATGACAAACCGGATATTTAATTTAAGAAAAGCAGTTTCCAGCCAACCTGAGCAGAGCAGCAGTCTGATCTCTCTCTCTCTCTCTCTCTGTTTTCTGCGTAGATAGTAATTGACTAATTGTTGTATATATAAATCAAGGATAAATAAAACCATTTAATAGTTGTACATTTTGGAAAAAAAAAAAAATTAAAAGAAGGAAGGTAGAAAAAAGCAAGAAAAAGCCATGGGAAGACGTTTTTCAGCTGAATGCCACGACTCTCTGTCTCTGACCACCACCGCCCGCAACTTTTAACATTCGTCCGTATATACACAGGACCAGGATCCTCTCCTGAGCTAAGGATGAGGATCCTCCTCATCAATTGGTGTGGGTCGTTGGATGAAAATCCAACGGCTACAAACAGGGAAATCCCTTTAAAGTTATAATAATTGTAGCCGTTGGATTTTCATCCAACGGTCCACATCCCTTGATGAGGAGGATCCTCATCCTTAGCTCAGGAGAGGATCCTGATCCATATACACACACATATATAATATAATATATATACATGGAACCCATTATTTCTCTTTTACTGAGGATCATCTGAAAACTCAAAGCCAACATCTTTATTCGTGTCTTGGAGATCCAAACTGGAATTCCAGGCTGTATTTTTTTTGGAAAATGGGTTCATCCGAAAGGTTGTTCAACAGGCAGAGAACCCTTCACGAGATCCTTGGAGCAAGTCTTGGTAAGTCTGATTTGTTTATCATTCTACTTAAATTGTGATTAAAATTTTGATTAAAATTGTAATCCAGTATTTTGGAGCTCTCAAAGTTAAGTATAGACTCGATGAATGTAGTTCGATTTCACTTTGATATCTGGTGTTGTACTGTATGCATTTAAGATGCATTATGCATCAGGTGTGCCGGTTATCCACAATTCCTTACAAAGTTTTGATCTAGATGAGATCGGATTTTGTGGTTTTTACAGTTGCAGACGTGATTCTGTGGAGGCAGAAGAATGTGACTTTGGTGATACTGTTAGTAACTCTATCTGTTTGGCTGGTGTTTGAGAAGTCTGGTTACACTCTGCTATCACTTGCATCCAGTGTTCTTCTCCTCCTCATCACAACTCTCTTTCTCTGGGCTAAATCCGCCGCCGTTCTTAACCGGTAAGCGCAAAAATTTGTTGCTTCTTGATTTGAACCGAGCTTCTTTTCCTGAATTGTAACATTTATGTAGTTAAATCGGTTGATTTTTTGTTCAGTTCATGTAAACTCATCGTTCTTCATCCAAAACAACTGAACCCCGAACAGGTTTCGTTATAACTTATAAGAAAAACACGAAACATCCTGGTTTGTAGCATTTTTTTTCTTCCTCGGGATGTTTCGTGTTTTGCTGATTTTATCCGAACACCGTCTTAGATTTTGGAATGGCTAGCGTATGTTTATGTGTCAACATTGCCACTCTCAATTCACGTTCCCTACTTTGTAAACAGACCAGCTCCTCCCCTGCCTGAATTGCATTTATCGGAAGAAATGGCAAACGAAATGGCATCTTTCATCCGCATTCGTTTAAACGCTTTGCTCTCGGGTTTCCAAAATATTTCTCTGGGAAAGGACTCGAGATTGTTCTTCAAAGTAGCTACATCTCTCTTGGTGATCTACTTTGTTGGCGGCTTGACTGATTTCCTTACTTTGAGCTACACCAGTGAGTCTAAATCTTCATTTCCATTGGATTGAAGCCATCACTAGATTCAAATGTCGTAATTTTAGTCAGTTGATCTATGTTTTTGTTTTCCGATGTGCAGGTCTCGTCATTGTTCTAACAATTCCGGCGCTCTACGAGAGGTGTGAGGATTATGTGGACAAATATGTGATGATGGGGTACAGGAAGTTGCTGCAGTTGTATGTTAAGCTAGATTATGAGTATGTAAGCAGATTTCAAAACGAGGATTTGGTGAAGAAGAAATTAAGTTGATTTCTCTCCTCTCCTTTCGGGTTAAGGTCACGAGAGTGCCAAGGCGAAGTGTCGAGTGCGGTTTGATTTTTTTCTTTTTTCGAAACTATATAATACCCCCTTTCGCTTTCTTCCCCAAAGTTTTAATTTTTGTGCCTTGCAAGACAATTTAGGTTTGAGTGAAGTTGCAAGGAGATAGTATCTGAGAGAAATTGTAGAAAATGTCCAGTCAAAGTACCATGAGCTTTTGTAATCTGATGCTGAGTTTTATACCAGGAGTTGAGTCTTACATGTATCCTGAGTTTCATTTCGACTCGAATGAGAACCGTGGCAGTGGAACCCTTCTTGCTTGTACTCACCATCCCCACTACAACTTTTTCTTGCTCATCCTTATCACGAAGAACAATGACCATTTTTTTCAAATTTTGAGCATTCTCGAGGACGTATCTTGCAAACTCGATATCATTAGACCCATGGGAATTCTCTATGGTTACCTCCTCCAGCTGAAGAATGAAAGCAAGGTTTTGCAGTTTCCAGTATTCCATACCAAAGCCGGTTGACTGAAAATATATGAAAGGCAATTTGTTAGCAAATGATTGAAGAAATTAGCACAAGAAAACTATGTCTGCCGAGTTTGTGTGCGTGAGAGGGAGATCAACAGGCAACACAGACATTCACTTACTGTTATCTGTCTCCGTAACCAGCTAGGTCTAGTCTTCTTTATGTACAAAGTAGTAAGACTAGGCATTCCCCTAAGAAGCGAGACCATTCCTGGAACAAGGTCATCATTCAAGTTTGCACAATGTACAGTCAAGTTACACATATGAAGCTCTTCAACTTTACACCTTACTGCACTTTGAATCCACGTGTGTACTCGATAATCATCATCACAAAGCTTCTTCACTCTTTCTGCTGCAGAGAATTTCCAACTAACATGGAAGCGCCGCAGCCTGTTATGACCACGATCAAGCAAGTATCTATCAAAAGAACTCATCAGTCTCGCACGAAACTGGTTGGTTTTTGTTCGTGGCCTCCAGTCTGAACCAAAATCCACCACCGGAACTGATAGATGAAATCGTCTGCATCTTTTGGACAGAGCCCCCACTCGAGTGAGGTCTTTGAAATTGAGGAAGGAAAGAATATGATGAGCAACTTCATCCGGAAGAACACTAAATCTGTCTATTCCACTTTCAGAACAAATTCCTTCACCTTGACAACTTGGAGATGTCGGGAGCTTACGCTTGCGCGCCATGATAACTGATAGGAATTTTTACTACTGTGAATGCGATAAAATCCTTCTATTTTACTTGCAAGAATCACAAGGTTATTGTAGTATAAACGGATCTCGCAAGGTCATTCTCCACAGGGATTATTAAATAATTCGAAACAAATCAGATTTTAATTAATGATTGTAAAGTAGAAATTTGGATGATTGATTTTATAACCTACTTAAAGTAAAAACGAATTTAATGAATTAAAATAGATAATCTGCAATATTAAAGCTAGAGAGAAGAAAACAGTTATGAGAAAATCAAATTAAGAAGGCACTAGGGTTCCACCATCACCTAGCAATCCTATGAATTTTTACCCATTACTTATGATCTACACATGCCACTTTGAAGGTTAGATTTTCCTAATTCATATTCTACTTGGAACCTCCAATATAGAACGTATATCTAACATGCAACCCGTCCGGACGTTCGGATCAAATCTAAACATGAAAGACTCATTATGCTTTATGAAAATCCTTTGAAAAACCATGCAATCCTTAAGACGTGATATTCATCCTAAAAGAAGTTACAATTATTAATCACAAGAAGCCAGCGTCAATTTCAGGGAACTTTCCGACCAAAATTGCATCAAATTACTTTTCTAAAAATCCTAATGGTGATCAGGCATTAAAACAATTAGATAGTTTTCCCGGTGATTAACAATTCAAAGTACGCATGCAATCAATCATAAGCAATTAAATAAAAATCACATATTCATGCTAAGGCTCAAGGCTTCACCCTAGCAATAGAAATTAGTTCCGCATATTCATAACTGAAATCATAGAAATATCTATTAAGAAAAGGATTGAAAACACCTTCAAGTAGAAAATCTTCAAAATCCTAGCACTTCTCTCTGTCTCCAATATTGCATAAAATAAAGCGTAATTAAAAACTGTAGACGGCTAAGCAATATATTTGCTAAGCCACCACACAAACCCTAGCCAACTAAAATTAATAAAAACCCTAAATAAAAATAGTAAAATTCGTCTAAAATCTGAACAGCCACGTTTTGGCCCATAAGCTGCTCCAAAACTGGCCCAATATAGCTGGATTTGATGTTTGGAATATTCTGAACACTTTTCCAGAAGGCCACGAACCCATCCGAGGTCATCTTGGGCTCCAAAAACGTCATTTAAGCCCAAAAACGTCATTTTCCAGCACTGCGCACTGCTTCTTTATTTCATCGCCAGAAAATAACTGCTTGGTGGAAAAATCCCAAATTTTGATACGATCAAGCTAAGTGACTCACGAACGTCCTCCAACTGGAATTACTCCAAAATTCGTCCATTTGGTCCTGTTTTGCTGCAGAGGAAGTCGAAAGTCCTATATTGAAAATACAATTCAAAGTATCAAAATTCTTCCAATATATTAACCAAAATATACTAAGATTAGGGTAAAATATATAATATAAAATCTACTCATCAATAACGACTGTTGAAGGCAGTGGTCGGAGCCACTAGAGATAATACTCCCACTGAAACAAACACTTGCAACAACTTAATAAAACAAGCTTTGTTCATAAACTCATTCAAATACATAATCTGCCTCAACATCCAGAATTCTAGCCTTTTAAAAGGCCAAGCCAACTGCCTATTAAACACTAACACTACTTTCTAGTCCACTACAATACAATAAATAATAATCATCAAGTCCTAACCCGAATACATAATTAAAACACAATTTACAAAAATACAAAATACTAAGAGATTATAATAAAAATGAAAGCACAATGAATTCACCCTCTCTCATGCACTGCATCCGCCCGCGGATCCATTAAGGGGCAAGGGGGGTTAACTCACCCTCCGAGTTCCGGTGAATTTCCATGAATGACTTTAGTGCTGCCCCTTTGAAGGTTGGAGTTGTCCTTCATGATAAAATGCCATTCTTATTGATATTTTTTTGCTATCAACTTGGGCATTATATTCTTGATATGTGTTCAAGTAGTGAATTTCTTCAATTGAAAGGAATTGGTAGTCGTACGAAAAAATTGGTGGAGATGGGGAAGAATAGAGTACATAATAATATGTATTTGCTAATTAATTACATTAGCTTTGATTCTACCAATTGCTACTGCTTTAGTGGAGAAAGCCGTTTCTGCTATGAATATTATGACAAGTCCATTGCGTAACCAAACAGGAAATCAATCGTTGAGTGATAGCATGGTGGTTTATATTGTGAAGTGATCAAAGAGCCAAATTTGCACCGCATTTCAGTATAAAATCCCTCATAGATTTTTTTTTAGTTTTTAAGATCGATTGATTTTTCTATTTTTGGGTATATTTCAAGTTAAATTAATGCAAGTTGCCTTGCTAGACAGTTTGTCTGAAGCAAATTGCAAGGAGATATTAGCAGAGAAAAATCCTGTCAATTAATGTAATGCAACATGAGAGCTGTAATCCAATCTTGAGTTTAATTTCTACTCGTCCAAACTGTTGAAGACATACATATTGTTTTTTTATTTTAAAAATAAATAAACATTCTTCCTTTTCGATCCCAAAGAAACCTCTTGTTTGCTAAAACTTTGAACTCTGAGTCGCTATCGAAGATCTCAGAGTCACCATCCCAGATTTCAATATATCCGGTCCCCAATATGAATCGCAGGATCCCTGACCACGAAATTTGTAAATCTGGTGTGGATCCTGCCGAATGAGAACCGAGGCAGTGGAAATCATCTTGCTCCTACTCATCATCCCAGCAACTTTCGATGGAGCGTCATCATCCCGATGAACAATGACCATTTTCTTCAAATTTTGAGTACGCTCGAGAATATATCTTGCAAACTCGATTTCATTAGATCCATAGGAATTCTCTATGCTTACCTCCTTAAGCTGATGAATGCCGCTCCCAGTATTCATTACCAAAGCGACTTGCCTGAAAACATAAAAACAAATGAATTTGTTGTGCCAAAAAGAAAAAGCAAATGATTTCAAAATTACCAAAAGAAAAAGCAAATGAATTTGTTGTGCCAAAAGAAAAAACAATATTAATGAAACTCTCTTTGTTAACCAAAAGATGGTGGAAAAACATATTTGTCTTCTTTCACAACATAAAAGTTAAAGACAGTAACGTAATTTCACAAAACATAATTCTGTTTTTTTTTTGTTTAAGCCTCATCTATATGAGATTTTATCATCTCTAATCTAAAAATAAAAAAATAAAAAAAACCCTCTCCCCACTCTCACGGTCTCTCACTTCTTCATATCTCCTTCAATTTAAAAAATTAAAAGTAAAAAATTTCAAACATACTTTGTATGTGGGCTGTGACATCCCACATCGCCCAGGGGAGTGATCCTTAAATGTATATTCTCATCTCTACCTAGCATGAGGTCTTTTGGGAGCTCACTGACTTCGGGTTCCATAGGAACTCCGAAGTTAAGCCAGGATGGGTGACCCATTGGGAAGTTGCTCGTGAGTTCCCAAAAACAAAACCGTGAGGAAATAGTAAGCCCAAAGCGGACAATATCATGCTATGGTGGTAGAGCGGGCTCGGGAAGTGGTCTGCCCCTGGCCGGGATGTGAAAAATGGTATCAGAGCCAATCCCTGCCCGGAAGTGTGTCGACGAGGACGTCGAGCCCCTAAGGGGGGTGGATTGTGACATCCCACATCGCACAGGAGAGTGGTCCTTAAATGTATATTCTCATCCCTACCTAGCACGAGGTTTTTTGGGAGCTCACTGGCTTCGGGTTCCATAGGAACTCCGAAGTTAAGCGAGAAGGAGGCCAGAGCACTCCCAGGATGGGTGACCCACTGGGAAGTTGCTCGTGAGTTCCCAAAAACAAAACCGTGAGGGAATGGTAAGCCTAAAGCGGACAATATTGTGCTATGGTGATAGAGCGAGCCCGGGAAGTGGTCTGCCCCAGACCGGGATGTGACATGGGCATATATATATATATAATAGTTTTCAGTTTTTTTTTTTTTTTTTTGATGAGATATAAAGAAATATAAGAGAAGTGATGGAGAAGTGAATATGAGATAAATGATGAAAGAAGGAATACGAGCTCTTGATTCCCTTTCGGATCCCAAATTATTAATTTTTGTGCCTTGCAAGACAATTAGGTTTGGGTTAAGCAAATTGCAAGGAAGATATTACACAAGAAATATTGCAGAAATGCCATGTCAAATAGGTTTAACTCTATAAACAATGTAGTATTGATTGTTTGTTTTCAAAATTATTTTTAGTTTTGTAATCAGTTTATTGTTAGTTCACTTGTCCATTATGCGTAATATTTTCAACTTAATGTTGATCCATATACATCATGTGAATTTTATTCGCTTGTTCGTTCGTTTGCTATGTGTACTCTGATTTTCAACTTTAATGTAGTTAGACTCGGTGTGATTTTTACATGAATTCATTAGAAATCTTAAAAAAATATGCCTGATTTACCCAAATCCCTTTAAATCCTTAAAATCCATTATAACCCTTCATTTTAAAAATAAAATCCTAATTGAGTTTTAAAATCCGAAATGATTACACTTGATTTTCTATCGAGTTTTATAAACTTTTTTTAAAATCTTAATTGAGTACATTTAGATTTGTAAATTCTTTCAAAAGAATTTAAACTTCAATTATACTCCCTAAAAGAGTTTACAAACAGGATAAATAAGTCTAAAATTCTTTAAACTCCAATTATACTCCCTAAAAGAGTCTACAAAAAGGATAAATAAGTTAAGAGTTTTGTAGAGAGGTAAAATCCTTTCTAAGAGAGATGTATATTTACAAATACAGGTGTATTCTATCAAGATTTTAAATAAATCGATGGAAGTTCATTGGAATTACCAGCAAAGTCTTAAAATATTGACTTAGATACAGTGAAAATCAAGTAAATGAACAAAGTCTAAAGGTAGAGGCTCGGGATCTCAAATTGGAATTACCAGCATATAGCCTTGAGGTTTTATTGACCCACTGACTTAATTCATTCTACTGATTCAATTCGTCGAACCTCTTTACTGTCCCATTCACTCCTATAACTCTAATTGTCTGTTTGATAATTATTTTGTTCTTAATTTTTGGTTTTTATTACCAACTAGTACTAAATTTAATGACATTTCTCTTCATTTGTAACTGAAATTTCTCAAATTCAACGTATTATATTTGTTTTAAGTTTGATACCGAATTAGTGGTTGGCCAATTGTGTGGCACTTCCTAATTTCTCTTCTCTTTAAAATAGAATATATTTGTATATATCTAAACTACATATTAATGAAACCCTTTTTGTCAACCAAAAGAGGGTGGAAAAACATATTTATCTTCTATCACAACAAAAAAGTTAAAGATAGTAACGTAATTTCACATAACATAATTATGCTGTTTTTTGTTTAAGCCTCATCTACATGAGATTATATCATCTCTAATCTTAAAAAAAAAAATAAAAAAATAAACCGCTCTCCCTCTTTCCCCACTCTCACGGTCTCTCACTTCTTCCTATCTCATTCAATTTAAAAAATAAAAGTAAAAAATTTCAAACACACTTTGTGTGTGGGCATATGCTAGCGCATATATATATATAATAGTTTTTAGTTTTTTGTTGGTGAGATATAAAGGAATATGAGATAAATGATGAAAGAAGGAATACGAGCTCTAGATTCCTTTTCGGATCCCAAATTATTAATTTTTGTGCCTCAAGGCAATTAGGTTTGGGTTAAGCAAATTGCAAGGAAGATATTACCCAAGAAATATTGCAGCAATGCCATGTCAAATAGGTTTAACTCTATAAACAATATTTTCTTTTTTAAATATCAAACATTCTTCCCTTTAGATCCCAGAAATCCCTTTACGTGCTTAAGAATTTAACTCTGAAAGTCAGAATCTCTATCTGAGCTCTTCGAATCACTATCTGAGATATCAAAATCGCAATGTGAGATCCCAGGACCATAATAAGTGATAGTGTAGAAGTGCTTTGGGTTCTGCCGAATGAGAACTGAAGCAGCGGATATCATCTTGCTCCTAGTCATCATCCCAGCCACTTTTGATGGAGCATTTTGATCACGATGAACAATGACCATTTTCTTCAAATTTTGAGCATGCTCGAGAATATACCTTGCAAACTCGATTTCATTAGACCCATAGGAGTTCTCTATGCTTACCTCCTTAAGCTGGTGAATAAAAGCAAGGTTTTGCAGTTTCCAGTACTCATTACCAAAGCGACTTGCCTAAAGACATAAAAACAAATTAATTCAAAACCACCAAATAAATACAAAGTAATTAAAAAACAAATTGACTTTTGTGCGACTTTTCTTAACCCAACTATTCCATAATTCACCAACTTCATATGTTATTGACCCAACCCCACTAAATGGAAATGTAAAAAAAATGTAAGTTACACCAATATATTACAAAACTAATACCATTCTATGCCCGAAGGGTTTACGATAGCACATTGCCGAACATTTAGATGATGTTACGCATACAGCTGGTTGTCAAACATGTTTCATGAAAAACAAATAAATTTGAAATCAAGCTCCAAAATTGTATTCATATCTCATTTGAAGACCCGCAAAACACAAAGTGATAGACTATTATTTGATTTGTTCCAACTTATTTTCCTTATAAGTATCATATAGGATTTTTAGTTCGAGATAAGTGATGACTATGTTGAGTTTCTGGATATAGCAGCGTCATAGTGGTTGTCTTATGGCAACTAGTACTATGGTTCTCTAGCTTGTAAGTGGAGTCTCTCAAAATCAACTTACTTGGAAAACAAGTTCAGCCACTAGTACTACGGTCAAACAATACCCCCTGTTGACAATAAATCGCTGCATAAAAAATAGAACATAAAAAGAAACTAGCTAACCCTTTTGCTGTCATTTAATCTAGGTTAAATTTTGAGTTTTCATTCTTTCAATAGGAAAGTTTTCTCAAGAAATTGTTTGGATTAAATAAAGTTGCCCTAAATTATAAGAAAATGATTCTACAAATTAGCACAAAAAAAGTGTGTGTTGTGTGCGCGAAGGGAGATTAATAGGCAACATAGACTTTAACTTACTGTTCTAGGAGTCAATCTGTGACATCTAGTCTTTATGCAGAAAATGTTCAGATTAGGCATTCTCCTAAGAAGAGAGACCACAGCAGGAACAAGCTTGTTATTCAAGCTCTCACAATGTATGCTCAAGTTCCGAATGTTATCCAATATTAGTGTTCGCGTGGAACCTTCCTTGTACAGAGCCTGCCAATTTTTCCACAAAAAATCTTAATTAGCGAGAAAGGGCACATAATTATCACAATCCAGATTATATATCATCACTAATTTGTCAAAAAATGAAAGTCAAAATGTTTCTCAGTTACTTCATATTGCGCATAAATAAGAACTTATACTGTTTTCACGAATAACATGCGGAGAATAGAGTGAACTTTACCTTAATGGTCTTGTCGTTTATAATAAGAACTTGTGCCGAGCATATACTGCAAAGAACCTCCAATACTTTGTCAAACTCATTTTTCAGAGGCTCTAATAAAATCTCAACTTATTCCAAACTCTTTAAATTTCCCAGACTTTGGCAACTCCTCACTTCTCCTTTCCATTTCAAAGTTTTAAGATTTGGAGCAAAAATCTTCAATGATGTGTTGCTATTTGTGCTTTTTCTGCTCTCAAATACTTTGTAACCACCCCAGTACATATCTATATTTTCAAGTTTCTCACCAGATATATTGAGATGGCAGTCGTCATTGTCATCATCATCGTCATCGTCATCATTGAAAAAAGAAAAGGATTCCAAAGACGAACTTTCAATGGAGATATTTTGTGTACCCTTGATAGAACTAAGACTTAATTCCTTGAGATATTTGCAGCAACATGAGATCCATTTGAAAATCCTCTCGTCTACTATTTTAACATCACTCAATGATAAGTAACGGAGATTACTAGAAAAGGATAGGGACGGCGCTTCAACGATCTCCAAAGTGCGTGTACCCGAGGACACCGATAAAGAGCGCAAAGATTGAGAATGGAAGATGAAAGATGGCAATGACAACATACTAGTAACCCGGTATAAGAAATAGAGATCAAGCTCTTCAGCATTACACCTTACTGCATTATGAATCCACTTGAGTACTCGAGAATAGTCATCAGAAACTTTCTTCACTGTTTCATATTTAAAGGAACTCAAGCCGATGCAGACTCGCTGCATCCTGTTATGACCACGATCAAGCAAGTATCTATCAAAAGAACTCATCAGCCTCGCTAAATCCACTCTTTTTACATCTGCTCACTGATTTGTACCGAAATCCACCACCGGAACTGATAGGTGAAATTGTCTGCATCTTTTGGACAGAGCCCCCACTCGAGTGAGGTCTTTGAAATTGAGGAAGGAAAGAACATGATGAGCAACTTCCTCCGGAAGATTACTAAATCTGTCTATTCCACTTTCAGAGGAAGTCCCTTCAGCTTGACAAATTGTAGATGCCTGCAGCTTGCGCTTGCGCCCCATCGCAGTGACTCCTCAAGGCGGTGGTCGGATCTACAAGAGATAACCCTTCCTGCAACCAACATTTGCAACAACATATCAAAACCACACACCCAAGACAGTTTTGCAGCTAAACAGGGTGCCCTTGCCAAATACCTGATTAAATTCTCAATCTCACAGATGCATATTATCAAGCACTTTCCAGGCACTACCACAATCACCAAGCGAAATGAACAAACAAACCCACCAGATTTTTCGAATAGCAAAGTGTACAATTAGACAGAAATCCAAAATGAAATCAGAGTTTTCGAAAAACAAATCGCATATTCTGCAAAGGAATTGCTTACCGGTGGTAGTGGCTGAATCAATTCTTCTTGGGCAATGAAGTCTCGCAGGAAGACGAGAGTAATACGTGAGATACAAGGCACTCCCTCCTGGACTTTAGGGTTAACAATCCTTCAATTTTTTTTTTATACATTTTTACATGATTAGGTTTTTCTCCGGAGTCGTCAATCGGCCGAACCGGGTTAACAATCATTCATCTTTTAAATAAAATCCTAGTTGAATTTTGAAACCTATATTAAATACACTCGATTTTTTATGAAGTTTTATAAACTTTTTTAAATTCTAATTGAATACATTTGGAATTATAAATTGTTTTAAAATTCTTTAAACTCTGATCATACACTCTAAAAAGTTTATAAAAAGGATAAATAAGTCTAAAATTCTTTAATCTCCAATTATACTCCCTAAAATAGTCTACAAAAGGATAAATAAGTTAAAGAGTTGTGTAGGGAGGGGCAAAACCCTTTTAAGAGAGATGTGTATTTGTAAATTTAGGTGCATTCGATCAAGATTTTAAATAAAATCATGGAAGTTCATCGATATTCAAACAAGATTTAAAGAACTTTATAAAAGGTTTTTTAGCCAAAATTATCTCTGAGATTCGCATAACTTATAGTTTTGGTCACTGAGATTTAAAATCAATAGGAGTAGTCCCTGACATTGTTCACCATCTCATCTTTTCTACCAAAGTCCTCACGTCTCTCGTCAATTCGTCCTTGTCGGTTGATAGAGAAAAGGGAAAAAGTGATTAGGGTTTCTGAATTGGGGGTTTGGGTGACAAAGATTTGATTGGTGTAGAATCAAGACTGAAAATCAAAAATCAGTAAGGAATCTTTCGAATTGGTGGATTGCGAGGTCGTGAAGTTGACTGCGACATGGCAGACCATTTTCACAAATCTGGGAAGGCTCCCAAATATGGTGAGTTGCATTTGAACCATATAATACTAAGATTGTTGATACATTTGAGATACTTAAGTATTTTAAAATGTTTAGTTTGTTGTAAATATTGGATGTCCACTATGTAGTGGGAGTAGTAGGTTTTGTTAGTGTGGTTGGTGTTGTAGGTAAATGCTTAATGGGTGTAGTAGGTGAAGGCATTAAGTGAGTGTGGTAGGTATTGATTTAACATCTGGCATATTCATTTGCCTATATAAGGAAGGCCAAAGTGTAAGAAGAAAACACACATCAAGAAGAGAGGGAATTATGAAACAACATCAAAGAGAGGAAAGAGAGGAAGAAGAGAGGAAGAAGATATGAGAGAATAGAGAATTATTTTTGTGCTCCTATTATTCCAAATGATAAATGAAAGCACCACTGCTGCCTCGAGGACGTACTCCAGTCACATTGATTGTAGAGGAACCTTGTAAATATTGTGCTTATTTACTTTTATTCCACTACATACATACCGTCGATTTTACAACACGTTATTAGCAGGAGAAGCTCTCGTGTTAGTCGAAAGCACAATGCCACAAATCCGGTGAAGCACTACCTACCTCTCACCTCCATCGGCTGAAAGCTCACAAATAAGAAAATCTTTTCATTTCATCTTCAAATCTCTGTACTATTGATTTTCGTGAAGCAACTATATATATATTGTTGTATGACTGTATATCATCATTTGTAGAAGCATAATGGTACAAACTCAAAATTCGTAGAGAATCTGACAGCCTTGTAAATAGCCTCGGAACTCCAATTTGCTGACCTCGAATTGAAATACTTTCTTCTTGAAAGTTGTTCTTCCGCCTAGTATCTACAGCATATTAAATTTTCAGAAACTTCCAGCAGTGCGATCATTGCAAAAATCTAAAATACCAAACCAGTTTCCAATTTCTGCAGAAAACTGGACAGCCACATTATGAGTACCAAAACTCTATTTTCGGGAGCTCAGATCAAAACTGTTTCTTCATAAAAGTTGTTTAGTATCCTCTTATCCATACTAAACTTTGAGCAAAATCTAACGGTTTGATCTTCTCATAAGTTGCAAGAACTACTCTTGACTCCAAAACTTATGAGAACCGTTTCGACTCCTTCAAAACTTACCGGAGGAGGAACACAAATTGAGACTTATTGTTACTATCACTTCTTGGGCAACTAAAAAGACTTAAGAGTTGTGAAACATAAAATAAAATAAAAAGGATGAAACAAAAGGAAGTGGCATACAAAGAAAAAGAAAAGAAAAAAAATGATGGAAACTTAATCATCACTATTTTTTTATTATTGCTTTATTTATGTGAATGGTGCTGGTTTAAATCTCTTTCACAAGTTCTATTTACTTAAATGCAATTTATTTACAGTGGGTGGAATTATCGTCCTAAGTTTTGATTTGTTTATGTGAATGATGTTGAATTAAAACCCTTTTCACAAGCTTTATTTACTTAAAAATAATTTATTTACCATGGCTGGAATTACCACCTACTGCTTTAATTTATTTATTGTACTTCTATTTGTTATGATAAGTATATACAGGACCCGAAGTTCCTTGGTCAGATCAAAACCTACAGTTTCTTGATCCTCATCATATAAAATGATTGGACCCTAAGTTCCATCATGTTAAAAGATCAGGCATGAAGTCCCTTGATCCTTAAGATCGGACATGAAGTTCGTTGATGAGTACCTTAAGTTTTAAGTGCTTAAGTGCCACAACTTAATTGTAATAAAAACCATAATAGTCTCAGTCCACAAACTGTAAAATAAGGACCAGAAGTTCCTTGATTCATGTAAATGATGATATAATCCATACATATTTGCTAGAGAGTTTACATCTCAATTGTTTTATGATTATTACATGTCACTGGTCATTGATGTTGAACACCATTCCTCATGTCCATACTCAAAATGGTTTAGTAGAAATATTTATTAAGCGGATGAAATTAATTACCCGCGCTCTGCTCATGAAAACAAAATTGCCAATTTTTTACATAAGAACATGCCATTTTACATGATGCAATATTAGTTCGGTTGAGACCTATTGCCAACCATCAATACTTCTCAGTACAACTCGTGTTTGGGCACCAGCCAAATATTACACATTTATGAGTTTTTGGTTGTGTTATCTATCCTATTGCAATGCCACAATATACTAAAATGAGGCATCATCGCAGATTAGGAATTTATGTTGGATTTTATTTACCATCTATCATTCAATATTTGGAACCCTTGACTGGGGATATGTTTACTACGCGGTTTGTGGACTGTCATTTTGATAAGACAATTTTCCCACCGTTAGGGGGAGAAAAGACCGTTCTAGAAGAATGACGAGAAAAGACTGTTCTAGAAGAACGACGGGAATAAAACGACGAGAATTGTCATGGGATGTACCCATTTTGTCTTATTTTGATTCACGAAGCAATCAATGTGAAAATGAAGTGAGAATAGTTGTTCATCTTCAAGGTATTGCCAATCAAATGCCAAATGCATTTAATGATGCAACGAAAGTGATAAAATCACATATACTAGTTGCACATATGCCTAAAAGAATTGATGTCCTTATTGGACAAAATAATGTGGCAGCAAATGATTTATCTGTTGCATGGCTGAAGCGTGGCAGACCCTCAGACTCAAAAGATCCAGTCATTTGAAAGAAGAAGAATATGGCACTACCGAACTATTGCATTCCCGAAGCATAACGGTTGCATGCCGGAAGCATGACAGTCGCCGCATGGATACACGTCCCAGAAAAGACAATTCGTGGACATGGGAATTTTGATGTCTCATGCATCAAGCATGATAGACGTATAGGTTCCAATAACTCAACTCCCGGAAGTGGAGATTAAAATTAAAGCTCTATAACGCTCAAGATGAGATTATGATCCGCATTCTCTAAACTATAACTGTCATGGAAGAGACAATGTAATATCCTTGAAGAGGTAATGGATATCCAAAGAAATGAAAAACTTTTATGCATGCGCATGCACATGAGAATATGGGATCACATATTGATGATAACCGATGGTAATATTAGTTTTTTACAAGTAGCTACTAAATTCATCAATGAACTACGTTTATATTAAGTCTCGTTTTTTTTCTTCGACGAAAAGAAAATTTATTGGCCAAAAAATGGAGAAATGCAATTTCATTACAATTTTGTAAGAACGTGGAAAAATAGACCTATATATATGTATATAATACAAATAGCCAAAAGATGTTGAACCAATGAGGTTACATATGAGCATTTGTAATACAGTGAAATACACTCACATGATATGACACAAGGTTACTAATTGAAACCTGAAATTATACTCCTGTAAACGAGTTCATATGGAGAATTATATATGAAGGGTTATGAGTCGCCTGCATGATATCTCTATAAGTAAATTCCCTCAAGTATACATGTGAGCAATTTGCTCTGTATAAGTTCTAAAAGGGTAATGTGTCATGAAGTGTAGAAAATCCATGACGGATTCAAATTGCTTAAAGTAAGCCCTGGAAGGGGGTAAAGCATAAATTATGTACTCAATACCAATGGATGGTATAAATTGCCTTAGTGAGTACTTTCATTATGATATTGTTGCAACATACTAAATTCTCTTGTAAGAGTTGATGATATTAGATTGGAACTCTTGAAGAGTCTACAAAGATTATAAAATGTTGAAAGAAATATTGTCTTGAGCTGCAGATCAAACAATATGCCAACACGAATCTTATCCATGATGTTTATAATATTAAAGAACCATATGGATTGAATATTATAAGTTGAATACTCAAATGATTAACCAATATTTAGACACTAAGAATGATCATTTATCTTCGTGAGAGTAAAAATGAATTGATATTTGGTTCAGAAGCACCACATCTTAGTAAAGTATATGCTTTATTATATTTAGCACAATATATTGGAATGAAATGAAGCTTATGTAATGATTTATATTCTTGGAACTATAATATTTCCTCATTTCCTCATTTATTTATTGATTATGGAAGTTCATTGATTTATATTCTTGGAACTAGAATATTTCATCGTTTCCTCATTTATTTATTGATTATGAAACCAGAAGTTTCCATGGGCTTCTATATCTAATAAGTTGGAACAAAAAATCAGGCACAAGGGAGGAAATTTTTATACATACATGTGCAGGTACAACTACAAAAATAAACAAACAGGGAGGCCTTCACAAAGGTTGCTTATGTGAAGCCTCAAGTACTTGGCAGAACCCCAGAAGAGGGAGACATTGGAGATTAATCATGTGACACCTTAGTACTTAACATAACTCTAGAAGGAAGAGGCACTAGAGGTTGATTATTTGG